ACCTCTTTTTATGCTGGCACCCTCTTTTTATAATGGAAGTTCTATCTCAGCCAAGAATACTGTTTTTTTTTTATTATTATTATTTTAAATAGTATTATAATTTAGTGGTTTCATTCGCTACTGACCACAAAACACTAATAATAACTTACTGCAAACAAAAATGCATGAAAATAATTCAGTAAGTATTAAAATTTAAAGCTATATTTTATGGCTTAAGGACACCTAATCTCAAACCCAAGTGATTTTTATTCTCAAGAAAGGCTGTTAAAAAAAAAAAAAAAACAACATCTACCAATTCACTCAATGAAAACATGCAAGTTTAAATTTTCAAGAGTTGGTAGCACCAGGTGTATAAAACTAAGAGCATCAGAATTCCAGACAGACAGACACAATCACTGTTTCTTTTATGTTTTAAGTAAAATAACACTTACATGCTGCTCACATCTCATGTTTCTTTATCTGCCTATTCACTGAGTATTTTTGACCTATCTAGCAGGCTATGACCAACCTAGAATGAGTTGCTCTCTCTTCTTTTAATTCCAAGATACCATCTAGGTGTATCTACCTTTTAGACAGCAAGAACCAAGCTCCTTGCTGTTTTGTTTGAAATGTTTGACCAAGCATTAACAACCCACTGTCCTGACAGTTTATTAGAACTTAAGATCTTAACCAGCTTAATGAGCTGATCATGTGATTAACCAGAAGAACAAAATGGAAAGGAAAACTGATTCCAAACAAGGTATGGCTTAGGAAAAAAAAAAAAAGGGAAATTTTATCCAGAATGATATCAATTTTCTTTCAAAAAAAAAGGCTACTCTAGGGCTGTTATGTCATTTTCTTTTTTTTTCTTAACTTGTGAGGTTTCATAAACAAGTTAGGAAACAACAAAGAACTCCCAACCCCAGTTCTTTTCTTTTTACCTTGTTCATCAAGAAGCTTTTTTGTAAGATCTTCAGCTTCATCTCCACAGTCCAGTTCCAGTGGGTCATCATTAATATCCAGGTTCTCCAGCTCCAACTCCAAATCCTCACTCCCAGTAGCTGCTTCCTTATTATCTTTGGTATCTTTTGAATCTAATTAAGAGTTAAGTAGAAGTACTAAATCATTACATACATGCAATCATGAATAGAATATGAAGACTTGCACTGCTAAACTTATGTCTCTCTAGCAATGCCTTTTTACCTTATTTCCTTTCAACAAGTCTCCCTAATTTTTGAGCCCACACTCCCACCTGCTAGCAGAGCTTCATCCATACATGCATCCTTCATACAGCTTTATCCATACGCCTGGAAACTACAATTATTTAGCCAGACAAGGTTCTATTATGCATTGCCAGCAGTTTTTAATTCTTTCATTAGCTCTCAACTATACTTGAAACTTCACTGGATGATATGCAGATGTTCAAACACAATAAAAATGTTTAGAAAATCAGCAATTTAAGTCTGGAAGTGTTTGAAACAGGTTGCCAAGTAAAACTGCATGCTGGAAGGGTCAGACACAATGATCCAAATGAATGAATACATCACAAATGTTAATTAAAAACAGACATTTAAAGGTAGAAATTCACCTTAACAACACATTCTTTATATGTTAACTGATAGCCAAATGGACATAAGAAATTGAAGTATTTTATACAGATCTACAAAAAGTAATAAAAAACGAATGCAAAAGGTACAGCTGGTGGAGGATACTTAAAAAATGGATGTGCTATGCAGAAGATCTAATATGAATCCCATTTCTCCTTGGGATAAAAAAATATTATGAATTTCTAGATGAAGATTCAGAAAATAGCTAGCATTTTTCTTGGACAATAAAGCTGGTCCAACACAGAGCATTGTAAACTACAGCCTACAATCTTCTGCTATCTTCCTGAAGACCTCCTTCAGGAATCATTTGAATTCTTTTTTCTTTGGTGATGTGTAGTTTTTTTATGTAAATAACTGTAATAAAGAACTTTTTTTTTTTTTTAACAAACATTGCAAGCATCATATAGAAATAGCTGAGTTATGAAACAGGTAACCTATTTTGAATCAGACTAATTCACTTTTGAATAGACCTCAAGGATTTTTTTTTTTTTCCAGTTGTCTCCAAATTCCCTTTAGACAAAGCCTCCAATCTCCCCTGGGCAACCTGCTCCAATGCTTAATTCCTCTCAAAGGGAAACTTCAGAACTTAGAAATTATAATGAAGGCTCTGAGCTAGGAAGTTGAAATTCTGTTCTGACCCAACACGGGAGCACATATCAGGAAACTACCAAGTTCATGTCTTTGTTCATCTTCTAAATGCTCTAACAGTGGTCTTATTCAAACATGCATCTTCTGTCATGTTTTGAGTCAGCGATGACAAATGTCACTTTTAACCCATTATAACAAAGACAGATCAATGCCTGGCTGTGAACTCGGGTCCTATCAGATGATTCTTCATCCATCCTTAAAATCTACTGGACTTTTATGATGAGATGGCCATAACTAACAATCTAGTGAAAACAGAGTGAACAATACCATCTCTCAAAGAAGGTAAACTACTAAGTTTCCCCACAGAGAAGGTAGCATTAACTGACACTGTTCAGTCACCAATTATTTTCAATTTATAATTCCATTAACATTGAATTGCATTTACTTTTTTTCCCCTCAAATGCCACTGAGGTAATCCCTATCCCCACATACATGACACCCTAAAAACTCATCCAAACCTGTGTATTGTTCTGATGACCACAAATTATTTTATTACAGGCTCGCCACCTGCATTAATTTTTCTTATCTGTCAGAAAAGATACATTAAAAACAAACAAACAAAAAGCAGATAAACAAAAAACTGATTATGTTTAAGCATTCTACCTCTTGATTCATCTTTGCTGGAATCCTTACTTTGAGAACACTTTTCATTATCTTTAAACAAAATTGCTGGCACAAAAGCCTTCAAGTCAATGAGATTCTCATAGAAGTTTCTAGCATCCTCATCTTCCCAGATACCCCCTTCCAGGTCATATTCTCCAGGCTTTCCTGGTGTGAAAATATCAATGCCAGGTCCATGTTCTGCAGAAATGCAAAACCATAATAAAATTATTTATGCATATTTCTCACCTTAATAAGGAAGGAGACATCTTCAAAATTAAAAAATATACAAACTTTCAGAAACACGTTAGCCTGCTCATCATTGCCATTATTTTCTCATAAATGTAACATTGCATACTTTAAGTTAACTTGTAGTAATCTAATCTGAATATCAGATATTTCAATACGCAATCTTAATGTTTTGAATTTGGCATTCATAGAAAAACAGGCAATATCAAGTAGAGGCAATAGACACATTATGTCCTGCATGATGAACTATACCCGGTAGAATTTAAAGAACAGAAGGTTACAAAGCATAATGAAAGCAAAGCACTCATAAAATACAGCATTTTAAAGCTCAAGATCACTTCAGTTGGAAGGTACACTCATACCAACAATAGTTCTGAATCTAAATTCTGAAATAAGGCATTGACTAGCTTTGCAAATGAAATACTGTACTTCTAAGGAGGTCAAAGAAGCACCTAGTGACTTACCTGGTGTAACAGTACATTCTTACGCATAACATCATGACAAAACACATCTCAAATTCATTTTAGAACAATATTGGTTTATAAAATATGTAGTTATTTAAATATTAAGAAGGCATTACATTAAATGGAATATTTCTGAATCTCCATTTATTCCAATACCACCTGAAACAGTCTAAAGATATATTACCTCAAACACTGTGACTACACAGCATATATATTATGGTTACAGTTGCATGTTAGGTTTAATTACTTAAATAAGTAACACTATTATTCGTTCCTTGATATCTTTAAGGGGAGAGAGGGGGAATAAATCAAAATAAATGAATGAAAAGAGCACATCAGTAAGAAGGTTTAGCCAGCTACTCCCACATCCAAACCAACTCCAGCATCCTGTTTACTTGCTTTAGATGATTGCCTACCCTCAGGTGTTGGTTTGTCCTGGGGAAGGTCAGGCATATTTTCATCCAGGATATCAGCTAGAGACTGAGAATTTGCCAACAGTTTCTGATAAGACATCGCAAATTCCTCATATTGCTTATGTCGATCTTCACTCAGTTCACCCTTGGAGTGAAGAATGCGCCTACAAAGATCAAAGACACAGTGAGACAACTTTCTTTCTTAAAACATATTTGAGCTACGCTGAATCACTACCAATTTCTCTAGCAACATTAATCTTCCCTCTGCGGGGATTGCACATATACAGGAAACATTTGGGCAATGCTCTCCAACATCCCCCTGCCCCCCAAAAGCTATACTGGTTTAACGAGTTCAATATAACCAAATGTAGCATAGTCACAGAAGCTCCACTTTCCAAAGAAAACAGCTGACAGAAAAAAACCAAAACAACATAATCCTTGGTTTTTTTTGTTTTTTTTTTCAAGCATGATTATCCTGTCATACTTTGCACTAGGAACTCTTGTAATAAAATACAACATTCAGCTAACACAGAAGTTGGATAAAAGCTGCTGTACATCTGTAGCTGTACAATTCCCTGCTGTTCCAATGATTCATTGGAGGACCATTGCCAGGAGGCTCAAAAACAGTAGTGCATTAAAACAAGCTGAGTTATTTCAAGGCTGTCAGTCCAAGCTGAGAGTAGTTACATCTGCTTTTTTTCCCCCTTGTTCTTTAATTTCTTTCATAAGTAGTACTCAAGCTAATTTTAAAACCGAGAACTGGTTTCAAAAGCAGCTTGTGTTTGTAAGACTATAAGCACTGCTTGCAATCTTTTCTGCTTATAAACTTATTTTTCTTACCAATCTAAATACAGTTAATACCCAACAATTCAATCAACTCGACACCTTGTGCCAGTTTAAATATGGTCACACTTTTTTAAAAACAGAGTAGACAGTGCAGTTCAAAACTGTTACTCATTTTCTTTTCTTTAAAGAGCATTCCATTTAAGTATTAACTTTATACATGTCTGTCCCTCTCTGTTCCATGTGAGTAGTGCATAAAATAAACAAAACCTCACAGTTTCTACCTGACAAAGACAGAGGAAGTTCTTCACTCAGAGGCTGGTGAAGCACTGGAACAGGTTGCCCAAGGAGGCTGTGGATGCCCCATCCCTGCAGGCATTCAAGGCCAGGCTGGATGTGGCTCTGGGCAGCCTGGTTTGGTGGCTGGTGACCCAGCACACAGCAGGAGGATTGAAACTACATGATCATTATGGTCCTTTCCAACCCAGGCCATTCCATGATTCTACATTCCCTACAAAAATGTGCTATTCAGAATGCGTTGAGACCACTAAAATCTCACTTGTTTTCTGATAGGTGTTTTAGATTGACATCACTCTGCAAAATCATACACCAATTACCAGGGATGCAAATTATGGATTTATTTCTCATTTTAGAAAGAAAGCTTTGCCTGTACTTGGAAAGCATTCCCTTCTGACTGCTCTGATTCACTTTAATTCCTGATTTTAAGAAATGGAGGTAACCTAAAGTTATCTATTACTTTGGAAAACATCAAAATCTGATGTTAATGTTATAGAGGTTCACAAAGTAAAATGCAACTTTTTTTTCCCACAGCAACTTTAGTAACTATCAGCCAGTTACCATATGTTCATTTATTAGTTATTTATTATTAGCAAAAAGTACACTTCTGATTTTGGTAGAGTATTACACAATTTCTGAAGTCTCATGTCAAAAATAACTATTTAGAGCAGTGCCCCTACAGAAGCTAGAAATTTCAAGTGTCCCAGACTTTAAACAAGCAATCTCAAGAAACTTCAGTAGTTTGAACCAAAAATACATAACACTGCAATCTCTGCTAGTGCTAAGCTTGCCACAGAGGACTGATGATTAAATTATCATCAGGCTTTTCTTAAGCTGATAAACACACAAATCAACCACATTCTTGCCAACACACACCACGGTTACAGTTTAAAGGTTCTCCAATAGTCTGAGCAATATAAATTCAGGAATATCAATACTGGCATTTATGTTTTACTAGTACCTTGGGACTAAAAAGTCATTTTTTTTACACAGGACATTCACAGGACAAGAAAATTTATTTTGCTCACTTGAATCAAAACATAATTTAGGTATTTTGATAGAGAGCAAAAGGCATTAATGCTAGCAAAAGTTGTATTTCTTGTTCCTCTCACACAGGCACACCTAAAGAACATGCACTACTAAGCTTCAGTTTGTGTTAAATTCAAGCTAAAGTGTGCCAAGTAATCTTTCAACAGCACAATTAGTTTTTGCATCAACAAATACAAATGAACAATACAGCATAGGACACTTAATCTTACTTTAGAACTCTTCAGAATTTTGCAGAGTACCACAGATTAAGTTCATCAGATCTTCTGTTTAAGCTAAGCATGTTTTTAAAAGTTTAAAGGAGTTTCTTCCATGCTTAACCACTTCTGAGAACTCACACTAGAATCTGGCAATCCACTAACTCCCTTCCAATAAAAGAGCCTGCACAGGCTTTGCTACGAGCTCAGCCATGCAATCAGATGATCAAGTTCTACTGTCCAAGTGTAGCTCAAAACAGTTTTCCTAATTATCCATCTGCAGACATCCTTGTGTGTGCAGAAACCTTGCTTCAGCCAAATGCTGTGGCAGGTTATGAATTTGTTGAAGCATACAATAACATGTTAATTCATAATTAATTCAAGCAGTCAGTCTGTCCAGCTCAAGTTATCTCACAACAGCAGTCATTCTCCTGACACAGATGAATATGGGACACATTTACCTGGAATAATTATCACCAACTAAACATACAACAGGGAACAGCTCAATTCCATTTCACTCCACTACTTCTGGAGTAACGGCTGAAATAAACGCCGCTGAAACCCAATCAATTTTGTTGCTAACAAACCCACAGAGGACTGCTGTTTTTTTTTCCCTCTCAATAAGATTATTGACTTTAAATATATGTATATATTTTTATATATGTATTTAAAAATATATAAAAATGAAACGATACACACAGTCTTCTGAATTGGAAGGGACCCTTAACGGTCATCTAGTCCACAAACAACCACAATCCTCTTTCAGAAATTCAGTTAATGAATATTTCTCTTGTATTCAGACTTCTTACCAACCAAATCTCTGTTCTTTACCTCACAGCCTCACAAGTAAAATTGAGCAGAAAAGTTTTTCACGTCTCATTTCTGATAAATTTACTTCCCAACTTTTATTAAGCAGCTACAATCAACACTTAAAACTACAGATAAATGTAATTATTATCATCTGGTGATAAATGATACTTCTTCATACCCTTCCACCGAAACAAAGCTTTGTGCTTAACCTCACAGGATAATTCAGATGCAAAAAGGTCACTATTCCAATCTCCTGCTCAGTGCAAGACCAATGATGAGATCAGACTGGGTTGCTCAGGGCTCTCTCTATCCAGTTTTTTTAATTCAAATTCACAAATAAACAGTTTACTTTAGGTTCACCCTAAGAATGACAATTCAGGATGCTTGTTGTTGTTTTTCTAAACAAATTTATGGTAGAAATAAAGTTATTCAGAACTTAAAAGGTCTATGTATTAATTCTTCAATATTAACATTTCACATATACGTTAAAAAAGGATTTGAATCTAATTGTCTATACTTTTAAGCATCTGCTTATACAAAAATTGTAAACAATGAAGTTTAGAGGGTACTATTTTATTCCAATCTTATTTTTTGTCCATACTCACTACCATTGGCAACATTGGTACACTAAAAGAAATGTAAATGAGCCAAAAACATTGCGGCATATGCTCTGTTAGATAGGTGTGGGTGGAAAGGGAGAAATCAGATTATGTCAACTGGAAAAGGCAGTACCAGCTGGTAAATAAGCAAGACACTCAAGCTGCTATGGAAGCATCACCAAAATAATTGAGTTAAGAGAATTAAAGTTCAAAGGCAACCTGCACTGTCTTTAAAGATTCTTGAGGAATCTGAGTTTTTAGCTCTTTTTTTGTTTTGCTTTGTTTTGTCTTATTGACGTTCTTTTTTAAGTATTCAGAGAAAGCTTGGAACTTTTTTTTAGCTTGGTTGGATTATTTGATATGTTTTTAGGCACACCACAGAATACACATCTCCTACACACCTCCAACAAGACTCTTTTGGTGACAAATACTGCAACAAATCTAGGCATTTCAAAACCAAACTATTGTTTCCTCCATAAACAAAAAGCAACATTTAAATGTCACCTGTTTTGTCTTTCAATATTTTGTAGCTCCCTGTGGTCCCTTTTCAGGTGTTTGGTCAAAGACGTAAAGTATTCCTTCAATAAATTCTGGAAGGGCTGTTGTTTCTCTGGACTAATTATCTCACTAGGAGGAAAGCTCAAGTTAAACTTCTCTGCAACAGTTTTTACTTTCCTTGGTACCAAACCAGCAATGTCATCTCCACAGTGCCGACAAAAGCTGATCACCACAGAAACATGAGTGTGGGATTCTCGATCAGCGTTAATAATATTTTTAAGTTGCTCATAGATTAAAGACAAACCTTCCTTGTCAGTGAAAATCCCAACTATAGTCAATTCTGCAATGAAACGCAGATCAGTTCTTAGCTTTGTAATGTTGGGAGTCTTCTCTTCTTTCCTTGCTTCAAAATGCTTTTTCCAAGCCTGAAGCAATGAAGGGGCAAAATCAGCATAGCGCTGGTGAAAGAGAGAACACAAGTGCACAGCGCAGTTCACATCTGATATTTTCAGTTTGGCTTCCACAATAGAAGCTACTGCTTCTGCAATGTATTTGCTTAAATTCAGGCTATTAAAATCGTGGGACAAGGAGTCCCTTTGTTGCTCTGTAATGGTTTTTAGCTTCTTAACAAAAGCTGTGTTCTTCTTCAGACTGGAGTCTAATCTGCTGAAGAAGTTTTCCTCAGGGCGATTGTCTGGTGCATTCTGGTTTTTGCTGCGAAGCTCCTTCCTTGCCTGATGGCGCTCCCAAGCCTCCTGATGCAACTGGTGTGCTTCCTCTTTTTCTCTAGGAAAAGAAAAAGAAGTGATTACTGTTACAGCACCTTACGCCCACATTAACGGGTCAAAGAAAGTCAGTTTGAAATCCAGTAGTGCTGAACAGTATTAAAAGACTATTTTCTAGTATTTAACAAGTTAATCCTAGAACGCTAAAGCATCTGCTTGATAAACCACTGCTTGAATTTATTGCTCTAAAAAGCAAGTCCCATTTGTTACAACACTGAATTTCTCACGTTCTTCTATGCAGAACATCTTAATCCCACCAGACTTGCAAAATATAAGCACGAAACTTCATTTACTCCAGACTGAGATTAAGTTATTACAGAAGAGGACAGCAACCTTTTAAGAAGTTACTGCATTAGAGCTAAGGGAAATCTATTCCCAAACCACTGAAGTTAAGGAAAATTTTAAACAGCTGAATTACATCTGCCCCAGCTAGAATTTGGCAATGACACTGTTCTCCATCTTCAGAAGTGACATACTTGATATACAAGAATGTCCAGAATCTTGGCTTTACTGTCCTAGAGATGCTATCTTCAACACTGTAATACCCTTTGATATCATACTAAAAAAATATTGTCTTGGTAAGATTACATATTGAAGTGATGGGTTATGTTCTGTGTTTGCCATCCATATATCAATTGACTATGATCAGTGCAAAGCAATTACAGCCACTGCTCACAGTAGATTTGCTTTGTGGACTCGCTGATATTGTGCTTCCAATTTTACAACACTAACATTTCTCTGTCTCAAAATAAATTGTGCTTCTTCATCATCAATCTGTGCTTCACACGATTATCATACAGAAAACAGCACCAAAACCCCATCCTAAAGTAACAGAGGTTAAGAGATGAAAAGTCAAAATAACATAAAAATTGGTATTCTCACCCAAGCACATGTAATTTGTAGGACTACACACAACTTATTAACTCAAACTGTTCATCTTCTATAATTCTGCCCACAGTCCTCACAGCAGGACTACAGCATTTGGCACAATTAAAATATTTAAGTACAACTTACTTCAGCTGAGCAGCTGCTTCTTCTTGTTGACGTTTAACTTCCTCCTCTTGTTTCTTTTTCTCTTCCTCTTCATGTTTCTTTTTTTCTTCCTCTTCTTTCTTCTTTTGCTCTTCTTCTGCCTTCACTTTATCCTCTTCCTTTTTCTTCCTCTCTTTGTCTTCTTTTTTTCTTTTATCCTCATCCAGTTTTTTCTTTTTATCTTCAGGAATCTTTACAGTCTCTCTCTTTACCCCAACTTTGACATCATCTTTTGGCTTCTCCCTGGTGCTCACCGGTCGCCTTTCAACAAATTCTTTTTCTTTATTATTTAGCAGAGATTCTTTTTCATCCATATTTGCTGACTTTTTGCGCTCAGCTGGCATTGTCTTACCCAGGCAAGTCTGCAGAATCACAGGAAAATAAATATTGTTAACCTGCATTTGACATATTAAAGTCACTTTCACAGCCCACCCATACTCAATTCTTAACTGATCAGAACAGAGATTTGACATACATTTGTCAGAACTAAGGAACGGATCTAATGACAGATAAAAAGTAATCTTTCCATTACAGCATTCCAAGTCATAAAGCTAAGCTCATGATAAAATAATTTGGATGATTTCCACGTTTAAGTTATTACAATGATATTCTGAACAAATTGTGAAGTCGTTCTCAGCAGAAATTGTGAAGTAAAAGCATTTGAAATTTTTGCAACCTGACAAATGTGTAATTTTAGTTCATAAACAGAAATTCATCTGAAAAAAAAAATATCCAAGACCAATGAAAGTGAATTACAGCAACTTAAAGCTAAAAATATTTGATTCATCCGCATGCACCTCTATCCTACTGAGATCACTACATGTCATCTAAGCATACTCCCTCTTCTAATACAGGATCACAGGACAACACAGTTTTGACCTGAAAAGGTCCAACGTCCTGCTCAAAGCAGGATGAGTTCTGAGGTCAGACAAGACTGCTTTGGGCTTTCCCAGTGCAGTTCTAAAAACCACCAAGGAAGGAGATTGCACAGCAATCGTGGACAATCTGCTCCACTGCTTTACTGCCATCATGGTGAAAAGCATCATCTCATTCCCAACCCTCCCAAGATGTTGCCAATCACTAGGAGCATTCTTCCACACAGCACAAGTAGCAGCTGGAAGAATGCTGTGCTGAATAAGGTGCATGCACAAGCCTCCCTGCCAGCAGAACAAACATAAAAAACAGAAAGGCTGTAATCAGCGAGAATTATCAAAGGCTCCAAACCATGACTCTACCCAACTGACTTTTTTTTTCCTCCCATATGACTTGTAAGAGCTTCATCATCTTCAGGGTTTTCAGCCCTTTATGCCTTAGTTCTATTTGGTGAAGGGAGAAAAAAGACAACATATATTCAACAAGAAAGGACTCACAGAATAGTTATGACTTGAAAGACTTTGGATGTCACCTATTTCAAGTTCTTGCTAAAAAAGGGGTCAAGATTAGGAACTTGCCCCATAAAGTTTTGAGTATCACCAAGGACGGAGATATGACAGCCCCACTGCGTCCTTGCTCCAGCAACTGAATATTCAGTATTGAAAAAAAACTCCACATATTATCCTTGAATTCAGTATGCCCCAACTTGTGCCCATTTGTTCTCATTCCTATCCATGCACAGCTCCGAAGAGAACCTGGCTCCATCTTCTCTGTACTGTCACACTAGGTAGCTGCAGATAGTAACTAGACCTCCCCTTCTCTTCTTACAGATGAAGAGACTGTTCCCTTTGCCTTCAGCCTCCTAAAGATCCTGGTAGTTGTCTATCATCCAGTACAGCAATGACTTTATTGGAATAGAGAACCCTATACTGGAGCTGGTACCCAGATGTGATCTTGCAAGTACCAAATACAGAGGAAAAAACTTTGAAGCTGCTGGCTTGTTACTACAGTCCAGAACACTGCTGGTCTTACTACAACAGTATTCTGCTGACTTGCATCTAGTATCAGGTAGGGCCAGACAGCGTTGAAACATTCAAAAGAAACAGGTAAGCCTTATTTACCTCACACTAAATTCATAACTTACAAAAAAAAATGTATTTTATATCAATCATAAGCTATATCTCACTCTCGTTCATGATGTTTAGCTTCAATGCACTGATAAATTGTGAACCTTTAAACTTCAGATCTAAGAGCACTGCAAGGCTTATAGCAAAATGCTTGCATGTTAGAAGAGCCTGAGTCCTAGCTCTACAAATATTTATTCACCATTTTTTATTTGTATATGCTTAAATGCAAATATAGATAGAAGTGATGGACCACACTGCACATGGGATCTCCTAAAAAAGCTTCACTTTTATTAGTAGTGCCTGTTTGATTCCCAGTTACCACTTTTTGCCTTTCTACATTTCAATTAGACCAGATGATGAAAATATGCTGGATTCACATATTCTGTGCATCTACTCAACAAAACGGGATAACAAGGCACATCTCAGGCCAATTAGGAGTGCTTCCAATATCCTTTTCGACTATTCTGAAAGATAGTTATAACTAAGACATCACACTAAACAAAGTTTATTTCTTACTAAGTAGTCCACATTCCCTGCCCCCACAGTGAACCACAACACAAGAGATCCATATATTGGCATTCTCATGTGGAACACCTGCATTTTTTCAGATGTTTGCAAGTGTCTTACGAAGAGAAGACCTAGCTGCAAAATTTGACAGTGTTCACATATAAGCAGTGACATGTTAGTGGTAAAGAAACTATTGGGGCCTTTTGGAAAGCAGCTGGCAACAGCATCAGCGAAGAGACGTTTCTGATGCTGTTCTGTGGAAGTGAGACCAATCAAATCAGCACAGCCTACACAACTACTAGCAAATCTGGCACCCTAATGCATGTCTACAACCAAAAGGTTTCACAGCTCAGCAACTCTGAACTACTTGGATTTCAAAAAGCTGACAAACATCAACTTAAAACAGCATTATTATGAAATCAGTACTTAACACACACACACACAAAAAAAGCAAATAACTAAGCAGCACTCAGAACTCCTTCAAGTTCTGGGTTAGGACTAATTTCCCATCTCTTTACACCACTTAAATGGGTCCTATTCCTTACAGACTCATCTGGGAGGTGGGAGTCCTGCACTCATTTCACATTCAGCAGTGTTAAGTCCATTAATCTTTTTGCACTGTGAATCCATGCTGTTAGTTCCAATAGTTGCAAACAGCAGTTTAGCTGCCTTTATCACCACTGAAAAAAAGTGGGAGGAAGGGAGGTTTTCAGTACTTAAACATTGCTGTAACATATTACAAGCAAGATTACATCTGGTGCCACATTGCACGAAGACTCCCCAGTAATTATATTAAAACATTTTCCCACCAGGAAAGTTACTCACAATAAAGATCCAGTTTGCTTGTATAAAAGTAAGACAAAAAGATGTGATAAAAGGGATGGAACACTATGATTTCTCAAGGCAAAATTATCTACTTTCCACACCCCCACACCCTGTAAACCCAGTGCCAAACAATTAGTTTATAACAGATTACTGACCTATGGCACAGGAGATACAACACTGCTCACTATCTACCATATTTGTACTGGCAGCTCATTTATGCCCTACCACCAATTTATTAAAGGAGGCAGCAAAGCGTGGTGGCTTCCACCTTTACACAGACTGATTCACTGGTCAGCTTGCATGGGCCAGCCAACAACACAAGCAGAACAGAAGTGCCCACAGAGCATATGCTATATAGCCATTCTCTCCTGAGAAGGTTAGTTTCAGTCTTTTTTTCCCCCTCAGCTACTGGTTATTATAAGATCTGTAGACAGTTTTATATCTTCAAAACATCTAAATTGGATGAAACTGGTTCACTAAAAATGGGAAATGGAGAAAAATGGTAACAGGTAGAGAAGGCCTGCCTTGGTCTCGTTCCCACATGAAGTTAGGTTGCAAGGTAGGGTCCAGGTAAACAGAATGGTAAGGAAGCATTAAGATACACATTAACAGAACTTCTATTTTGTATCTAATGCTTACGTGAATGCACTAGTGGAAAGGCAGATAATGACAAGAGCTTCATAAGCTGACAGAAGGAATTAGTGCTCGTTGCTGGCAATCAGAAAGGACAAGACACACGGGAGACAATGGGTCCATAAGCTTTTGGTCTTTCAGCAATATATTTCCAAAATGATATCTGAACTCTCTGAAACTCTTCTTATTTCCAACACTTAAAGGTGCTGCTTTTCCCAGAGAATACCATTGAACTCTTTCACTACTTAAACCACCTTAACTCATTTTAATTTTCTCTTTTAAAATCGTAGCTGAATTTCTACTTAGTTTTTTTTTTTCATACTAACTTCAGTATTTGAGACATTTATGGAATGGGGTTCACAATACTCCAGGCTCAGAAACTTTACTTTAAAAAAAAGTCCTTGAAATACAAAGGTAACATTTATGGCGAAGCATCTATGTAAATACTTAATCTAAAGGAAATAAAAGATTAATAGAAGTTATTCAGCATCACTAATCTAGCCACCATTCAGAACAGAAAGATAAACATCACCACCTTGGCCTGATATGCTAAATACTCACAAATCAATAAAGCTCTGTTGTTACAGACTGCAGTACCAGAATCTCAATCCTTACAAACACAGCTTTGGCTGGGAGGGAGAACGCACAAACTTTACAACTTTACTAATTAACTACAGTGATTTACCTCACATATTTTGCATATTGGTACTACAATTTCAATTGGTCACATCAGCAGTCCTTTATGCAGGTGCTTTGTTAGGTAAGGGAAATGAAGAACAAAGACAGGAAGTCCCACTTCTGACACTTTGGAAAACTCAAAGAGCAAAAGACAAACTTCATCAAAAAGCACATCACCAAAAAAAAAAAAAAAAATCAAAAGTCTCGGGGAACGTGAATTGCAATTAAAGTTTCTCTTAACTTTAAGTTAGGGACATACGAAAACACGATGGCTCGTCAGAGAAAAATCAGCCTAGGCACCACAAGTTTCTGACAAACGAGATGTGGAGCTCTACAGGAAATCAGAGCCACAGAACGGCGGGGCGGGGGGAAAGGGGAGCGATACGACAGGACTGCAGAGCCAGGCGGGCAGTTTTACTTTCGATTCCACGCCTCAGAGCTGTCAGAGCTGCAGGAACACCCCTTCCTCTGAGGCCTGAAGGTAGAGATAAGGAGCCAAGCACTTCTCAGCTAACGACCCTCCCCTCCCTCCGGGCCGCTCCTAACCGCGCACGCAGGCCCTCCAGCCGCCTTCCCACAAGCCTGAAGGAGCCGCCGCCGCACTCAACAGCTCCGCACCCAGCCCTTCCTCCTCACCCCCCACGCCGGGCCTCCACAGGCCTCTCCCTCAGCCTCCTCGCGGCTCCCGCGCCCTCCGGCCCCGTTCCCTCCCTCCTCACGTAGAGCGGCACCGCTCCACCCTCCGGGCCGCCCGCCGCCCCGCGGCGCCCCGCCCGAGGCCCGCTACCTGCGCCCGGTGCAGGCATCGGCCCGGCCGCCCGGGGAGCGCCGCCTCCTCCGCCCGCCACCGCCCCCTCCCGCCGCTCGAGGTCCCCTCGCTCCGCTCCCCTCACGCCGCCCCGCCGCGCTCCCTGCCGGGCAGACCGCCGCGCTGCCTGACCGAAAGCGCCGCTCAAAGCGAGCTCGCTCCGCGCTCCTCCCGACGCTCAGACGAGAAAGGACGGGCGGCGAGGCCGAGCCGCGTCGCTGCGGAGATCTCGGATGGTTCGGCGAACCGCGCATCCCGAAAGGCGGGAGTCAGGCGGCGCGGCGGGCAGCCCCGGGCGGGGTCCTGCGGGCGGGCGGCCCTGCTCGGGTTACCGGGCGGTGCGGAGGCGGAAGTGGCTGCGGGCGGAGGGCAGCGGCGCGGCGGTGCCGTGTGGTAACGCGTGACGTCACGGCGGGACGTTGCTGTGTGCGGGAGCGCCGCGTTGCGTCACGTCGAGGGGTCGCGTGGTGGAGTCCTTCAGTTCGTGGATGGCCGCGGAGGTGTCGCAGCCTCAACGTCCGCTTCGTCTTCCTGCTGCGAGCGTGAACGTTTAGCAGAATTTGTCTACATCAGACCGTGCCTCAGGTGCTCGCGATCTGTGGTCTGGCCTGGGGTTGGCCGTAAGACAACCCTGCATGAGCCCAAACAGTCTGGCACCATCCAGAATGTACGAGTGTGCATCTGGTTTTTATTTTAAGTTTGGAATTCAGATTCTTAAGTACTCAACTACTGCGAGTTGAGCCTTTGCTTGGCTATGGCAAAGTGCTTACAACTTCGGATGTGCACAGCATGTGGCACTGGGGCCAGGATCACAGAATGTAGGGGTTGGAAAGGACCTCCGGAGATCATTGAGTCCAACCCCCCTGCCAAAGCAGGCTCGCTACACCAGGTCGCACAAGTAGGTGTCCAGGTGGGTCTTGAATATCTCCAGAGAAGGAGACTCCACAGCCTCCCTGGGCAGCCTGTTCCAGTGCTCCGTCACTCTCACTGTAAAGAAGTTCTTGCGCACATTTGTGCAGAACTTCCTATGCTCCAATTTCTGGCCGTTCCCCCTTGTCCTGTCTCCACACACTGCTGAAAAGAGCCTGGCCTCACCACTCTGCCCCTCACACCTTAGATATTTATAGACCTGGATCAGGTCCTCTCTGTCTTCTTTTCTCAAAGCTAAACAGACCCAGTTCACTTAGCCTTTCTTCATAGGGGAGATGCTCCAGGCCCTTCACCATCTTTGTGGCCCTGATGATGACATGATGAGGATGGGCACAGTGGGACCCTTGAGCTGTCACAGCTTTAATTCACGGGCAGACCAAGAATGGGACCGCGCACTGAGGCAGAGCATTGGGTGTGCGCTGCCAACTGTGCAGGAATGGGCACGTTTTGTTCCAGGAAAAAAGCTCTCCCCACGTTGTTTAATTTCGTGGCTCATTTTGCAGACACGTCTGAAAATCTCTTTCTGGAAAAGTTTATTAATGTTTGAAAGGATGAAGTCATGCTTCTTATTTACATCGATCATTGGGAAGGTGTCACTTCCCAAAATGCGTCAAGTTACCAGGTTGCTTAAACTGTTTTGTCAGAATGGAGAAGATCCATATGAAAAAAAGAGGGGCTAAATGGGGAGGACATGTACATATTAGTAGTGCTTTATTCTTCAAAGACACCAGTCATGTAACCTGTCAGTGGATGCCTTGCAATGATTCCTTTTTCTTGTGGTTTAATAAGGCAGTCTTTGCTTTATATGAGCTTTACATCTCACTTTCAGCAGTATTACATCAATAAATGTTGATCTATTTTCTTTTGCAAGATGCTGATGCTACCTTTTCTAGCATGAATAAAGTGTTCTGAAATTCTTCCCAACTTTTTCAATATGTTTCCTCAATTACTGGCACCAAATACACACACTATTCAGACAGCCATAGCATGCCAAATACTGGCCTAATGTACAATCTGTAGGTGTATACAGAATTTGTCTTGTAGGCAAATTGAGAAAAATAATCATTTTTGCCAAACGAGCTGATAGTCTTCTAACTTTTTCAGACCCATCTGTTTTATTCCTGTGATTTTCAGAACTTATTTATAGTCGCTGTTTCCTGGATAGGAGCTAAATTCTAGTGCACGTATTTTTTCAAGTTGTACACATTTAAGTCTGATCCTGTTAAAATAAATGACATTTGTTTACATCCAATCCAGTGTCACATTTGGTGCCAAATAGCCTTTCTTCACCACTTATCTCTAGCTGACAAATCTTGTCAGGACATTGTGGGAAGTTTTTGGGAGTTGGTAGAACTACTGAAGTGGCTTGGATTACAATCCCTTTAGAAATACACCCAGCCACTGCTGATTTTCAATTTAAAATATGGCAAGTTTAGGTATTTAGTTCTATACTATTTAGCATATACACCTCCATTTTTGAACTTTATTATTTAGCTATGATATCAAGTAGAACAGAATTGATACAGGAGTATCTTCTAGGATAGCCACTCAGACTCTGCTGGAAGAGTCAGGCCAGGAGAGTTTCCCTGGGGAGCCAGAGCATGTGAACTTAGCAGTGGTGTTTCTGCTGGTAAGGGTAACACTTTCTCATGCTCAAGACATGATCCAAAGTCAATAAACCTCTCTTTAATTGACATAGATACAGTTACAGCAAGAGTTTTGCCACATATAATCGCATCCTAGACAAGATGGTTATGCTGGCAAATTCTGCAGAACACTTTACATCTTTAGGAACTGAATTTTCAATCACACACACACACACACACACACACAAAAAAAAAAAAAAAAGTAATTGAAGGGAGCTTATAAGCAGGAGGGAGAGCAACTTTTTACATGGGCAGATAGTGATAGGACAAAGGGGAATGGCTTTAAACTAAAAGAGGGAAGATTTAGGTTCAATGTTAGGAAGAACAACTTTATTCAGAAGCTGGTGAGGCACTGGCACAGCTGCCCAAAGAAGCTGTGGGTGCCCCATCCCTGCAGGTGCTGCAGGCCAGTTGGGATGAGGCCCTGGGCAACCTGAGCTTGTGAGGGGCAATCAGTCCACGGCTTTGAAGTCCCTTCCAATCTAAGTTGTTCTATGAGTCTGTGATTCTAAGAACATCACAAAATTCAACGTCTTCGTTTGACATGTATTCCATAAACCCACACTTAGACTTCATTAAAGTAGAAAGGGAATTCTTACATACAAATATTTTCTTACTCTTCTGGGCCCCACATTGTATGGCTGAACCATGTCATTTTAGTCCTTTATAACTTTGGAAGATTTTAATGTTCAGACCTATTCATATCAGTGTTAACTGAGAAATACTCAACTAGCTCTCTATTTGCTTTAAAGCAAAATCACATTGATACCTGCTATTTTGCTGATAATTGCCTAAGAACTGTGGAAAAGTATTTCATAATCTTTCTGCAACATCTGTGCTTTTCCCTCTGCATGGAATAGAAATATTTAACCCTGCCGACCTTTTCTGCCTCTACAGAATCATGTAACGTAACAACATTATTTTGAAATTTCCTTTAGCATACATTAAAAATCAATACTCAAAGCCAAATTCCTACTACACCTTACTCTGTTGGCCATGTGTCAACTGTCCTTTTATTGCAGCTGGAATTTTTTTTGCTTTCTTTGCAGCTTTAAAATTCACTCCCTATTTTGCCCTTTTATAGATCTGCATAAACCCAACCTCAGGGAACACCAGCAGCCCCTCTCCAGGAACTGTAAATATCTAACATCCCCAGCCAACAACAGCGTCACAACTGATTCAGTTGCAAAATCCAGTTCCTCCTGTTCCAACAGCACGTAGCCACTGTTTGATTTGAAGAAATAAATGTTCTTTTATTTACCTGTTGCAAATGCAATCAACAGATTCAAGAAATGTATAGATGTGGCTCTGAGGAACATAGTTTAGTACGTAGTATTGGTGGTGGTTGGACGGTTGGACTGGACGATCTCAGAAGCCTCTTCCAACCTTAATGATTCTATGATTTACCCACTTGTAATAGGCACAGCCAAGCCAGTGCTACTGCATTCACACAAAGGTTATGCAAAGATGTTAGGTTTTGTTAAATCCTCAATTCTAACTCGTACATTTTTGGTAGGTTTTCAAGAGGTGATGGGGTTAATGTGTCCAACCACAATCCAGTGCAACAAATACACGGGGTTAAACTTCGATACTGAACTTCTCACAGCATTTTAATAAGAAATTCCAAGATACTGGGATATACTTTTGAAATCACCTAAAGAATCATAGAATCATGGAATCATTAAGGTTGGAAGAGACCACTAAGATCATCCAGTCCAACCATCAACCCACCCCCACCATGCCCTCTAACCACGGCCCTCAGTGCCACACCTGCCCTATTTCTGAACACCTCCAGGGATGGTGACTCCACCCCTTCCCTGAGCAGCCTGTGCCAATGCCTCACTGGTCTTTCTGAGAAGAAATGGTTCCTCATATCCAACCTGAACCTCCTCTGGTGCAACTTGTGGCCATTACCTCTCATCCTATCACTGTTACCTGGGAGAAGAGGCCAAGCCCACCTCACCACAACCTCCTTTCAGGCAGTTGTAGAGGGCAGTAAGGGCACTGAGCCTCCTTTTCTCCAGATGAACAGTCCCAATTCCCTCAGCTGCTCCCCTTAAGACTTGTGCTCCAGACCCTTCGTTGCCCTTCTCTGGACACGCTGCAGTTCCTCAATGTCTTTCTTGCAGTGAGGGGCCCAAAACTGAACACGCAGTACTGAGGTGCAGCCTCACCAGCGCTGAGTACAGCGGGACGATCACCTCCCCGTTCCAACTGACTACACTATTTCTGATAAAATTTTCCAC